AAGAAAAACAATCCAGAATATCTAGCAAGAGCAACAGAAATAGAGACAAGGAGAAGTAAATGAACGGGTTAAATTGAGGACAACCCAGGTTTATATTCTCGGTGTAGGGTCGCCGAGAATAAACATCTAGAATATTTAGCAAGAGCAACAGAAATAGAGGAAATGAGAAGTAAATGGACGCGTTAAATTGAGGACAACCCAGGTTTATATTCTCGGTGTAGGGTCGCCGAGAATAAACATCTAGAATATCTAGCAAGAGCAACAGAAATAGAGACAATGAGAAGTAAAAGAACGCGTTAAATTGAGGACAACCCAGGTTTATATTCTCGGCTTAGGGTCGCCGAGAAAAACATCTAGAATATTTAGCAAGAGCAACAGAAATAGAGGAAATGAGAAGTAAATGGATGCGTTGTATTGAGTACAACTCAGATTTATCTTATCGGTTAAAGAACGCCTCAGAAAAAAAATCCAGAATATCTAGCAAGAGCAACAGAAATAGAGACAAGGAGAAGTAAATGAACGCGTTAAATTGAGGACAACCCAGGTTTATATTCTCGGTGTAGGGTCGCCGAGAATAAACATCTTGAATATTTAGCAAGAGCAACAGAAATAGAGGAAATGAGAAGGAAATGGATGAGTTGAAATGAGTACAACCCAGGTTCATCTTCTCGGTTTAAGGTCACCGAGAATGAACGTCTAGAATATCTTGCTAGAGCAACAGAAATAGAGACATTGAGAGGGAAAAGAACGCGTTAAATTGAGGACAACCCAGGTTTATATACTCGGTGTAGAGTCGCCGAGAATAAACATCTAGAATATCTAGCAAGAGCAACAGAAATAGAGACAATGAGAAGTAAAAGAACGCGTTAAATTGAGGACAACCCAGGTTTATATTCTCGGCTTAGGGTCGCCGAGAATAAACATCTAGAATATTTAGCAAGAGCAACAGAAATAGAGGAAATGAGAAGTAAATGGATGCGTTGAATTGAGTACAACTCAGATTTATCTTCTCGGTTAAAGAACGCCCAAGAAAAACAATCCAGAATATCTAGCAAGAGCAACAGAAATAGAGACAAGGAGAAGTAAATGAACGCGTTAAATTGAGGACAACCCAGGTTTATATTCTCGGTGTAGGGTCGCCGAGAATAAACATCTAGAATATTTAGCAAGAGCAACAGAAATAGAGGAAATGAGAAGTAAATGGACGCGTTAAATTGAGGACAACCCAGGTTTATATTCTCGGCTTAGGGTCGCCGAGAATAAACATCTAGAATATTTAGCAAGAGCAACAGAAATAGAGACAAGGAGAAGTAAATAGACGCGTTAAATTGAGGACAAGCCAGGTTTATATTCTCGGTGTAGGGTCGCCGAGAATAAACATCTAGAATATTTAGCAAGAGCAACAAAAATAGAGGAAATGAGAAGTAAATGGATGCGTTGAATTGAGTACAACTCAGATTTATCTTCTCGGTTAAAGAACGCCGAAGAAAAACAATCCAGAATATCTAGCAAGAGCAACAGAAATAGAGACAAGGAGAAGTAAAGGAACGCGTTAAATTGAGGACAACCCAGGTTTATATTCTCGGTGTAGGGTCGCCGAGAATAAACATCTAGAATATTTAGCAAGAGCAACAGAAATAGAGACAAGGAGAAGTAAATGGACGCGTTAAATTGAGGACAAGCCAGGTTTATATTCTCGGTGTAGGGTCGCCGAGAATAAACATATAGAATATTTAGCAAGAGCAACAAAAATAGAGGAAATGAGAAGTAAATGGATGCGTTGAATTGAGTACAACTCAGATTTATCTTCTCGGTTAAAGAACGCCGAAGAAAAACAATCCAGAATATCTAGCAAGAGCAACAGAAATAGAGACAAGGAGAAGTAAATGAACGCGTTAAATTGAGGAAAACCCAGGTTTATATTCTCGGTGTAGGGTCGCCGAGAATAAACATCTAGAATATTTAGCAAGAGCAACAGAAATAGAGGAAATGAGAAGTAAATGGACGCGTTAAATTGAGGACAACCCAGGTTTATATTCTCGGTGTAGGGTCGCCGAGAATAAACATCTAGAATATCTAGCAAGAGCAACAGAAATAGAGACAATGAGAAGTAAAAGAACGCGTTAAATTGAGGACAACCCAGGTTTATATTCTCGGCTTAGAGTCGCCGAGAATAAACATCTAGAATATTTAGCAAGAGCAACAGAAATAGAGGAAATGAGAAGTAAATGGATGCGTTGAATTGAGTACAACTCAGATTTATCTTCTCGGTTAAAGAACGCCGAAGAAAAAAACTCCAGAATATCTAGCAAGAGCAACAGAAATAGAGACAAGGAGAAGTAAATGAACGCGTTAAATTGAGGACAACCCAGGTTTATATTCTCGGTGTAGGGTCGCCGAGAATAAACATCTAGAATATTTAGCAAGAGCAACAGAAATAGAGGAAATGAGAAGGAAATGGATGAGCTGAAATGAGTACAACCCAGGTTCATCTTCTCGGTTTAAGCTCGCCGAGAATAAACATCTAGAATATTTAGCAAGAGCAACAGAAATAGAGGAAATGAGAAGTAATTGAATGCGTTGAATTGAGTACAACCCAGGTTTATCTTCTCGGTTTAAGCTCACCGAGAATAAACATCTATAATATCTGGCTAGAGCAACAGAAATAGAGACAAGTAGAAATAAATGGACGCGTTAAATTGAGGACAACCCAGGTTTATATTCTCGGTGTAGGGTCGCCGAGAATAAACATCTAGAATATCTAGCAAGAGCAACAGAAATAGAGACAATGAGAAGTAAATGGATGCGTTGAATTGAGTACAACCCAGGTTCATATTCTCGGTTTAAGTTCACCGAGAATGAACGTCTGGATTATCTAGCTAGAGCAACAGAAATAGAGACATTGATAAGGAAAAGAACGTGTTAAACTGAGGAAAACCCAGGTTTATATTCTCGGCTTAGGGTCGCCGAGAATAAACATCTAGAATACTTAGCAAGAGCAACAGAAATAGAGGAGATGAGAAGTAAATGGATGCGTTGAATTGAGTACAACTCAGATTTATCTTCTCGGTTAAAGGTCGCCGAAGAAAAAAATCCAGAATATCTAGCAAGAGCAACAGAAATAGAGACAAGGAGAAGTAAATGGACGCGTTAAATTGAGGACAACCCAGGTTTATATTATCGGTGTAGGGTCACCGAGAATAAACATCTAGAATATTTAACAAGAGCAACAGAAATAGAGGAAATGAAAAGTAAATGGACGCGTTAAATTGAGGACAACCCAGGTTTATATTCTCGGTGTAGGGTCGCCGAGAATAAACATCTAGAATATTTAGCAAGAGCAACAGAAATAGAGGAAATGAGAAGTAAATGGATGCGTTGAATTGAGTACAACTCAGATTTATCTTCTCGGTTAAAGAACGCCGAAGAAAAAAAATCCAGAATATCTAGCAAGAGCAACAGAAATAGAGACAAGGAGAAGTAAATGAACGCGTTAAATTGAGGACAACCCAGGTTTATATTCTCGGTGTAGGGTCGCCGAGAATAAACATCTAGAATATTTAGCAAGAGCAACAGAAATAGAGGAAATGAGAAGGAAATGGATGAGTTGAAATGAGTACAACCCAGGTTCATCTTCTCGGTTTAAGGTCTTCGAGAATGAACGTCTAGAATATCTTGCTAGAGCAACAGATATAGAGACAAGTAGAAGTAAATCGACGCGTTAAATTGAGGACAACCCAGGTTTATATTCTCGGTGTAGGGTCGCCGAGAATAAACATCTAGAATATCTAGCAAGAGCAACAGAAATAGAGACAATGAGAAGTAAATGGATGCGTTGAATTGAGTACAACCCAGGTTCATATTCTCGGTTTAAGTTCACCGAGAATGAACGTCTGGAATATCTAGCCAGAGCAACAGAAAAAGAGACATT